GTTTTACTATCATATCCATACGACGTGGGGAACTCTGTGCCACCACTTCCCAAAGAGGATATTAACTCGTTAATCCGATCCGTATGCTTTGCATTTTGCATAGCAGTCTGTCAAAATGATTTTTTGAGAAATACTGATTGTTTCAAAGAGATCTTCGCACTAGAAGTATTCTAAAATGTGAAGAAAACAACCCCGGGGGTACAAAATGACCCAGGGCGTACGGATAGGGTCAAATAAGTCGTGGCCATAGATGTATACGCACACATTGATGCACATAAGTTATGGCTGCCGCTCTTTGCTCTATGTGAAAAATAAATCATGATGAAAGGCGAGCTATACAAGCCGTGTCATAAGCCTACAGACAGATTAAGGCGCACACACACACAGACACACACACACACACACACACACACACACACACACACACACACACACACACACACATTTGCGTGCGCGCGCGGGCACACACACACACACACACACACATACACACACACAAACACACACATAACCAAACACATACACATACACATACATTAATTAACAAACGCAAACACACAGTGCCCACATAATGAAGCCGGGAAAAATGAAGAAGAAATAAAAGAGAGTAACTTCCTTCTGTGAACAAGCTGACTATAAAACTATTGAACTGTTTCCATAAGCTCTCCTTTTGTCCATGTTTTCTAGTTGGTGTTTTGTTTTTGTTTTATTTGAGATGGGGTGTTTGTTTAATGGTATTTTTTGTTACTTACTTGTTTCTTTTGTATGTGGTATTCTTTCTGGGTTTTTTGTTGTGTTTTTATGTCGTGTTAAATTCTGTTGTTTTGTGGCGTTCCATTTTTATTTTTTGCTTGCTTGTTAGTTTTTTTTCTGTTTTGTCTTGGGGTTTTTTTGTTGTATTTTTGAGCTTTTTAAAAGGGGGGTAATGTAAAGGAAAGGAGATGAGTCAATATTAAGATGATTATCTCAACTCGTTTTTGACCAAGTGTTTTTCCCCTTCAATTGACAACTCTTCAGAGTGGAGCAAGAGCTTCCTTCTTAGACAAAGAATAAAACATATACACAGCCTCCCTCCATTTTCTCTTCACACTTCCCCCTCAAGATCTCCTTCGCGCAACTCCTTCCTGCTAGACTCTCCTCCCCCCCTCTCTCTCACACACACACACACACACACACACACACTCACACACGCTTAAACATATTCGTTTTCTCTTTCCCTTCCTCCCTCTCTTCATCGCCCTACGTGGTGTAATGGTTGGGTTCTTCGTCTTAGCACGCAAAAGACATCAGTTTGATTTCCTCAAGGGGAAATCTTTTTTATCAAGTATCTCCGTCTTTCTGAGAGGATAACTGTATTACACTCAGTCCAAGTCAGTCAGAGCATCTCACCTCTTAAATGATCTAAAGTGTGTCAATAGAGGCGCGAAACAACTATGATTCTATTGAATTGTCTTCCTCTGTCCCCTGCCTATTCCTCCTCACTCTTCTCTCTCTCTCTCTCTCTCTCTCTCTCT